GAGATCAGCGTAAGTTTCCAAGTTTTATATCACTTTGGAGGCCCTTTCAGGAAGAATCATAAATGTTTTAATAAAAAATAAATCAGCTAATCTACACACTGTAGATACTAATAGAAGAGAATATACGTAGCTCAAGGTTGAACTGTGGAGTCCTTGGTGCTCTCTGAGCTTGGTTGTTTGATTGCAGACGTTTCATTATCCAACTAGGCAACTTCAGTGCTAGTGAGTGTAGTAGTTGGTACCCTAATCAAGGGACTACCAAGAAGAAAACCACACCCCCACCAACACTGGCAGGGCAAGCTACTGTTTATGAACAGGGAGAAAACCGCACACTCACTAGCATTGATGATGTTACCTAGTCGGATAATGAAATGTCTGCAAGCAAACAGTGAAGCTCAGAGAGCACCAAGGACTCTATACTGTAGGTACTGCTTGAAACACAAGAACCTTATTCAGAACACAAGCAATCCAGTTGGGCACTAATTTAAGTCAGATCATTTTAATAGTGGCTCTGGTAGCACTTAGACTAACTGGATCAAAAAGCTACATTTGGGAAATACAGAATCCTACTCAGATTCTCCAGAAAGTACAGTACTAGATACAGTGGTACCTCTACTTACGAACGCCCCTACTTACGAAATTTTCAAGATACCATCAGCTCCGGCCCCAAAAATTTACCTCTACTTACAAACTCGCCTCGACTTACGAGCCATTTTCCACCCGTGTCACTTGGTCCATGGCCATTTTTCCGCCCGTGCCACGTGGTCCGCAGCCATTTTCCGCCCGCTCCATGTGGTCCGCGGCCATTTTTCCGCCCGTTCCATGTGGTCCGCGGCCGTTTTTCCGCCTCTGACACGTGGTCCGTGGCCATTTTTTCCGCCCTGCCGTGTGGTCAGCGGCTGTTTTTCCGCCCCTGACACGTGGTCCGCAGACGCTGGAACGGATTAACAGTAATTACATTGAACCTTATGGGAAAATTTACTTCGATATGCGACCAACTCGACTTGCGATCAGAGTCACGGAACGGATTAAGTTCGTAAGTAGAGGTACCACTGTACTTGCAGAATCCTTGTACCAGAAGACCACTGGCAAAGCTTTATATAATTACCTGTCCATTCCCATTTGTCAGACAGATAGCAGTGCATATGGAAGGCAAAGATTTTTTTTAAAAAGGAAAAATGGCAGCACTCCAACCCCAAATGCACACAAAAACATACAATTCCCACTCACCCTAGCTGTCAGTGTTATCAGACTCCTTCTACAACCCCCCTTCTCCCCAGACTGCCACCACACAGCATTTGCAACATCTGCCCCTGTTTAGCATCACCTACTCCCCCCCCCTTCAGTGGGAGCCTGAAAACCCGTGCACTCCCTCCCTGAATGCAAGGCCAGTCCCCACAAAATGTCCCATGAGAAGAAAACTACTCTTACATCTTGTTGAAAAAATGTTTTAACAACAACAGAGAGCTATCCCAAACCCCAGCAAACTCGGCAGCAGTGTTTCTCGACCTTGACAACTTTAAGATGAGTGGACTTCAACTCCCAGAATTCTCCAGCCAACGTGGCTGGCTGGGGAATTCTGGGAGTTGAAGTCCACTCATCTTAAAGTTGCTAAGGTTGAGAAACACTGCTCTACAGGGATGCAACCAAAGAAGGTAAGAATTTGGGGGGGGGGGGGCAAAATAGAACATATGCAAGTAATTCAGAGCACATGTTTGATATCCAGAACGCAGGACTGAGAATTTAAGACAGCGGCCACCAGACTCTTGATCCATCATCTAAGCTAGGTATGCAAACTGTCCTCCCAAGCAGTATTTTTTGGAGTGTTGTTTGTTTGCATTGAGAGAAAATATGTGTAAATGTTTTGAGAAGCTGGGCAGGAGGAACTCTTTTCCTCATTTGGAGTTATTGCTAGTTTAAGCACTTTTCAGGAGGAGTATCTGCAAGCAGTGGGAGGTGCAGCTTAGTTGGCTCCTGAGGGCAATCAAGTTTAGCGGGGGCATATTCAGTGCATTTTATAATAGAAAGCCTGGCTGCCTTATACTTTTTCTTGAAGGACTGACTTGGAGTGACTGGCAACTGTTCCATCTTTGACTGGGTGATGGTATTTGCATGACATGGCTGAATTAAGGGGGGGACCCTTTAACCAAAGCAGCCCTGATTATTTTTAATCAAAACTGCTCTTCTGTAATCTCAGGGTGGACTGGATTTTGCATAGCATCACGTTCCAGGTGTTATATAAACACAGCCAATGGATAGGTACAACATACAGTGATGCACAGATAATAACAGAAATGGGACTAAGGGTTTTGAAAATTTGCTCATGCCTTAAAATAAAAAAGTTTAAAATTATAACATAATGCTTTTCTTTGCAGGGAAGTAGGAAAGACAGCAGGCAGAAGGCCAGGTGATCTCTGTTTGAGATGAATTAAACATAGCTCTGTTCTGCTTCAGTGTATGTTACATGTAATATATTATATTGTATTCATTGTATGGAGCAGAACATACAGATTGGACTAATATTAGCTGCATTTTTTAAGGCAACAAAAATAAACTCTCAAATTTTCTGCAGGATTCAATATTGTGCATGTATAGAATCAATAACAGTTATACATGACTTTTTTATATTAGTTAAATGCCAAATCAGGTCCCATGTTTTCATTACATGTACATTGCATATAGAGTTTCTGGCATAAGAACTGGCAGGAAAAATGCCCTTTCAGAGTATTCTGTAACAAATTTCATAATGGAAAAGATTACGTAACAATAAAATCTGATAGTCTGAACTCTGGTTATGTTTACCCCTATCCCTTTTACGTAGAATTAAATTAAAAGGCAGCTGTGCTTTCAGTGTTTGTGAAGGAAATGGAGAACTACAGAAAGAGGTTAGTGAGGGATAAAAAAGTGAATGCCAACTAATTTATGGAAAAATAAATATCACTTAGCTTTTTGTCAGAATGTATTCCTTGTTTGCATAACATAGAATCAAATTGCAGGCTTATATCTAATTGATACAATTTTATGGTTATTATATGAAGAAAATGGACTGACTCTAAAGGTATAGGATACTCTTATACAATCTTCAGACTTTAATGAGTTCGAATGATGGGAATGTTTATTTTCCCGAGAATATTATACAGTTTGTCAGGCAAGTGGCTCATGAACTGAGCTGGAATTTGACATTAGGAATAAGTTTAATAATTTGCTAGAAGTTAAATGATTTTTCTTGATTCAAACTGAAAAGACAATTTTCCCCCCAAGATGATTAAGATGATTATGATTAAATACTGATGTATTTGTTCATTTCAGAATGTTTTCTTTACAGATTAGCTGGTTTTCATAATGCTTTAAAACCTGCAAAATATTTTTGATTAGAAATGTTGTTGAGAGAAAAAAGTAGTAAATGGAAACAATGCATGTATAAATCAATTCTTTTTAAAATTGTTTAAACATTTAAATTAAAAAAAAATTTTTTTAATCCCTGGAGTCTTTGGACTTGTGACAGGAGAGAGTTAAGATGGGCTAAAATAAAAATTATCTGTGTTGGCAAGATGTTTCTGATTGACATCTAACTGTGCAGTATTAAAAACTATGGATATTTATACAGTATGTTTTTTATATTTTTATATTGTATTTTTATTGCTGTAAGCTGCCCAGAGTCACACATTTAAGATAGGCAGCTGTATAAATTGAATAATAAAATTATGGCTCAAACATCCCTGGAAATCTTTTTTCCTGCCATTCTGCTGGAGAAAGTATAAGAAAAAGCAACCAAAACTTACTGAAGAGGTGGAAAAACTGCCCTATGAGGAAAGAGCAGAGTCTTTGAGAGTATGTGGTTCAGAAAAGTTGTGAATAAAGGGAGAATAAAGAAAGTAGATAAGGAGAATCCCATCTCTTCCTTTCACAATATTAGATTCTGGTTCCCTCTAGTGAGGCACAAAAAGAGGAAATCGAGAACAGAGAAAAGAGGGGGGGAGTCTCCTTCTAATCAAACTTACCTTCTGGAAACTTTATGGATTGTTTGGTTGTTTATGTGTAGATATTTTATCCATCTCTCACATGTGCCATCAAGTTGTTTTCCGCTCCTAGCAACTACATAGATAGATTTTCTCCAAGACAATCTATCCCCAACCTGTCCTTTCAACTCTCCCAATGGTGTAGTCATCGCCGCTATAACTGAATCCATCTATGTAAAGTTTTAGCAACTGTACAGAAGAGATTTGCCATTGCTATCTTCTAGAATTTTTTTTTTTACTTCCCAGCATAATTTGCAGCCCAGAAATGCCTTGGTGATCTCCCGTGCAAGTATAATAATGCCAGACCCTGCTTAGTACTATACAGAATTCACTGTTACAACATACAATGATGGTTACCAGTTTTAAAAGATTAGACAAATGTATGAAGGAGAATGCTATTGATGTCATAATAGCTATACATTATCTCCAGTTTCAGCAGCAATATACTTTTTCCTCAGAATCTGTTTCTGGAAATGAAAGTAGGGTGTGTGCCTTCTGTTGCCATCATGTTTTCCTTATATAAGGTATCTGGTTGCCCATCTTAGGAATAGTATGTTAAATGAGATGGTAGAGCTGGGCAAATCCTTCAACATGCAAAGTGCCTTTCTTGTTCCACAGCGCAAAACAGCTGGAGCAGTTTGAAGGCTCAGAGTAGCTCCTTTGGGGCTTTCCTGAGATCTTCTATGTTTGATGTATCAAAGATCATACTAAGCCTTTGAGTGGCTACAGCTATCATGGTTCTGGATTCAGAGGATCCAGAAAAGAACTTCACTCATGAAGAAAGCACCTCATTGAATGATTTGCTCGGGCCTACTGTGCTTCTGTAGTCTTAATTCAAGCAACTAGGACAGCTACTCCCCACAAGCCTCAGGAATATTATTCTCCCTTAATACTGTTAACTATTATGCTGCATAAAGAAATGATTTAAAGCAATGTCTTGAGTGATTATAGCATACTTTTTTCCCCTCTTGTTTTTTTTAGGTGACAATGTTGAAAGTGACTTTTAACCCCAACCCTATGAATCAATGCAGAGAATCCTGTAACCAAACCCAAAGTACAGAACAGCAGCCAGAATGCAATTTCTCCTTAACCAATATCCGCTTGGCTTCACTGAATCAGATCCTGGACCCTTGGGTTTACTTGCTACTCAGGAAGATCTTCCTGCAGAAGTTTTGTCAGGTAGCCCATGCCATTTCGTGCCGCTCTCAGGACAGATGGAAAGGGTAACATGTCATTTTATCCAGCAAATTCAGAAACACGACAGTTTGAATCAGCTTGCATGTCAGTGCTTTTCTTTAACTCATTGTTTTCCTTACTGTGAATCTGGGTGTCCAGCTCATGTCCATTTCTGTCTGTAAATTAATTGCGAGGAAGTTACAGGTTAAGTAGAGTTAAACTGGCAGATTGTTATGCTGTTCCTGTCTACCAGAAATGGTTAGATTGTAAAGAAATTAAAACAGTTCATGCAAGTCCTGTATAAAGTCTGTAACAAAGAATATGACTGTGCTGAAGACGCCTGGAAATTTTTCTGCTATATAAAAAAAAAAATATTTTAAATTAGAGGCTATAAGCTGTAGATTCAAAGTCTAATAAGGGATTGTGATCTATATTGTCTTTGAAATCATCGCCAAATATTTCCTTTTGTTTCAGCCCTTTTTCAGTTACCAGTTTAAGTTAGAAGGAAAGATGCTTCTTTTTCATGAAGAATCCAATCAAAGAATCAAAAATGTTACTGTTTGTATTATTTGCCTGGCAGCTTCCCTTAAGAGCACTGAGAGTAATAAAGGACTTTTAAATACACTGAGTTGCCATCATAATCTTCAATAAATACTAAGTCCCATTCCAAATTATTATTTGTTTTGTGTATTTTACAAAAATCAGTTTATGCAAATCTTATTTGTTATTTAATTATTACAGAGATGCCACCTGTCTCAGCAAAACAGTCCTATTGAAAGATAGCAATGGTAACTTTTAATTTATTGCTTTTACATTCAATATAAATCAAGAAGGGATAACATGTGGCCTTCCAGATATTAAGCTACATATCGCATCATTCCTATTTCAGACCACGAAAAAATAGAGTAAAAAAAAGAAAATCCATATAACAAGTCCCAATAATATTAATGTACAGCACACTCAGCCCTTTAATATGTTATTAAATCTGGACCATATAAAAACTTTTCCTTTCCACAATGTAAGGATATTTCAAAAATTGAAATGCAACATAGTCATAAATCAGCATTAAAAGACAGTCTGGTTAATGTATTGTCGAAGGCTTTCACGGCAGGAATACGATGGCTGGTGTGGGTGTTCCGGGCTGTGTGGCCGTGTTCTGGAAGTTTTGTTTCCTAACGTTTCGCCAGCA